AGTAGTTTCCTTGATGCGAGCATGTGCATAAAGAAGACTGATGCAACGCTTCTTGATTTACGAAGATGATTGCAGAACTTAGTGTTATAGCTGTTGTAGATGCTTCACTTGGAGGAAAGTTGATGCTGTTGTCCAACTCGTCTAAACCGAGCTGATTGGTTGCTAACTCCAAACTCCCGAACATGTTGAATTTGTCAAATTTTGAGCCTTGTATTTGTGTAGCCCCCGACTCTTTGATTAGTTGGGAAACAACTGAACATAGAGTCTAGAACTGTAGCTTCTTGTCGTCGAGTAGCCATTGCTTTAGTGAATATATGTGTTGATGTCCGAGTAGACATATTGAAGATTGGAACACCACTTGTTGTAGTAAAATAACACGGCATCGCATGCCGAGATGTCGAGGTTCACAAAGACGTCGTGGTTGGTGAAGTAGCAAAACTTGCGAAGTAGCAGCAATAGAGTTTGCCGGTGCCGAAGATAATAAAGATAAAGTCACTCTACCATGATGACAAAGTTGCCTTGTCGTGATAAAGTGAACACGAGTCGGCGGCAACAGAAGCAAACCGGCATTGAAGACGCGCAGTTGTGAAGATAAAAGCACCAGTCGGCGGCGGCATAACCAGTCGGCGGTAGAAGACAATGATGTCCATCAGTAGTGGTAGCGGTATAAATCAACCGTAGAGGCAAGGGCACTAGTCAGTAGCAGACGAGATGACCGGCGGTGAAGACGATAAGGCAAATCAACACTGGCAAAATCATGCAGCCATGGAAGTGAAGAAACCAGTCGGCAGCAGATGTAGACAGTTTGCGTTGAAGGTGATGACGCCTGTTTGCGGTGGTGGCGACGTGGCCAACCGTGAAGACGATAGCACCAGTTGGCGTCATACGAGGTGACCAGTCGGAGAAGATGTAGACGTCCTATAACGGCGGCATAATAAACCAGCCGTACAGGTAAAGACACAAGTCGGCGGCGGCGAAGGCGAGCCGGCGGTGAAGACGTAAACACCCAACAACGGCGGCATAATAGGCCAGCCATGCAGGCGGAGAAACTAGTCGGAGGCGGTGAAGGCAAGCCCGTCGGTGAAGACGTAGACGCCCAACAAACGGCGGCATAATAGGCCAGCCATGTAGGCGGAGACACCAGTCGGCGGCGACGAAGGCAAGCCGGTTGGTGAAGACGTAGACGCCCAACAAACGGCGGCATAATAGGCTAGCCGTGCAGGCGGAGACACCAGTCGGCGGCGGCGAAGGCAAGCCGGTCGGTGAAGACATAGACGCCCAACAAACGGCGGCATAATAGGCCAGCTGTGCAGGTAGAGACACCAGTCGGCGGCGGCGAAGGCAAGCCGGTCGGTGAAGACGTAGACGCCCAACAAACGGTGGTGTGACCAACCAACCGTATAGGCGAAAACACCAGTCGACGGCGGACGAGGCAGCCGGTCGGTGAAGAAAACGGCGCCCAACAACGGCGGTGTGACCACCCAAACGTATAGGCGAAAACACCAGTCGACGGCGGACGAGGCGGCCGGTCAGTGAAGAAAACGACGCCCAACAACGGCGGTGTGACCACCCAACCGTATAGGCGAGGACACCAGTCGGCCGCGACGACGGCAAGCCGGTGGTGATGTTCTGACTGATCCATTCCTGTAACATAGGAGATAAGCTTAAAGCCATGAATCCCTTTGATGCATATCTGGATCTGGATCCTGCAGAACAAACATATAGGATGAGTAGTATCTGATGTAAATACAGTACTTGAGAAAGATTCAAGTATTAAAAGTGTTTATAAATATGTATTTCTCCTCTCGTCAATTTTGATTTCCCCGAGCAGATGACTCATTACGTTTAAACACTCTGCCCGACTAGTCATAGCCACCAAGCACCGGGAGTCGTCCTAGGCACTTCCCAAACATGCATATGAGTGACATGAGTTCGTCATTAGTGGAACAAAATTTCACGAATCAAAATTTACTACTCAGGTATTTTTGCAATTGTTAAGAGAAGAAAATAAATTTATCTTATCTCTATGCTTTTGATTTATTCCGAATAATACTTAGCACCTTGCGTTACTCGGTCCATCCAACGAGCCCCCGGGTGCTAGGAATCGGCCCAAAGGCAACTATCCATCGACAAACCAAACGGAAAGCATAGGAAGATAGAACTCCATAACTCGATAGTCACTTTTGTACTCAGATTATGTCGCAAGCAATCAAGATAAATATTATGAAAATTGTTGAAAAAATATGACATAGCATCTATAGCCCCCGACTCACTAGTTAATGGCGAACCAATTGATATAGTGAGTTAGAGGAAAAGAAAAATATCATATAAAGAAGAAAATTAATGATGACTTAGCTTTGTAATATTCCCCTTGGTGACGGAGAGATGACCGATATAGGAACGAAGTCATCCGTCAATGGCGACGAAATAAGCCAGTCATGAAGGCAAAGACATCAATCGGCGGCGACGAAGGTGACTAGTCGGTGAAGACGAAGATGCCCATCAACAGTGGTGTGATCAAACAACCGTATAGGCGAGAACACCAGTCGGCGGCGACGGAGGCAAGCCAGCGGTAATAACGAAGACATAGGCCCTTCCAGACTCAACGCCATGTTGTACTGATCCGGTAGTGGTTTATAACTCAAGCTCATGATGTCAGAGGAGTGGTTGAAGGGAAAACCGGAGCATGTTTTGATGGAGTCCGAGACAATATCTCCTGATGATGTCAGCCAATATATCATATATCCTCACGTAGGAGTATGGTGCTAGGACTCCTGATCTGATTAGTTGGCAAGGTAGCCATATATGCTCACATGCGTATGAGCTGGATGGAAATATTAATTGGTGTCCCTTATTGAGGATAGCTCATGACAACCAATTAACGATGTGTATGCCTGGCAATTCTTCTGGGATGTAGATGCAAAACCAATAGCTCTGGAATTGATCAGACGCATAGCGTTCGTTGCTTTTCCCAGAGCTGGGGTACTGGTTAAGTGTTGGGGCTCGTGCCGACCACCTTCCCAGTGCTTTCCTTGCATGCCGAGTGTATTTTTGTTTTGACCTGATCATCCAGTAGTCAGCCGAGTCCGAGAATGATCCAATCAGCTAAATCCGAGTCTGGACTTCTATTGTACGCCTGGTATAAGATCAATACGATCTACCCATATAGAGATGTGTGCTCGGTGAGCTGATGTCTTGATCTCCCGTGACAATGATCGAAAGACTCGGAGGTCAGAACCAGCAACAGTACATGCAAGGCATAGATTAATTTAATTAGTAGTTATGTCAGAGACCAATCTAATTACGATTAGTAGATTGGAACGACGAACCTGGTTATTCTTGTAACCACAAAGTGTAGCTCCTGAAGCAGAGATCTTTGTGGAGATGCACAGGAGATATCGGTGGCCCCGACGATTGAAGCCTCTAACTTGATGACGTAAATCTTTGATCGCCGTTCTCTCGACTGGTTAAAACCCAAGTCGAAGAGGGAGAGATTGTTGGAGTCACCATCAAAGAAGACGAATCCGTCAAAACCGAAAGCCAGCCTTCGGGGTGAAGGAAAATCCGGCCACTCCTGTCCTGATCTTGATTCCATCACACTTCTTGACGGAAAACTCGACGCACCCCTGCCTGGCGCGCCAACTGTCGAAACATGAATTCGGCAATAATAAAGGGGGTAGCGCACGAGACCTAAAAGTAGATGGATGCAGGACAAGGATTTAGACAGGTTCAGGCCCTCTCGATGAGAGGTAATACCCTACTCCTGTTTGGGGATTTGAATCCGCCATGTGTATTATAGATCTGACGATCTAGTTGTCTCATGCCCCCTAGAGGGCCTCCTGCCCATCTTATATAGGATGGGGGGCAGGATTACAAGATAGAATCCTTAACCAATACGGTATCAGTTTCCTAAATCTACCTTACAATATTATCAAATCAGGACTTTAGGCCGTTCCGTAATACACAAGGAAACGTAATACCCAAATCATGATCTGTTACATATTCCATAGATATAAGCTATCCCCTATAACTAGTCGGATAACCATGCCGTGTAGGTATGGGGTACCCATAATCTCCACAGCGAGCACCGCGCTGACCATGTCGAACACAGTGCTCGATGACCCCATCCCCCAACACCACCTGCCACACCCTCCGCCACATTGACCTTGACTGACAACCACTTCTCCAACCCCTTCCCCTCCTCCCTCACTGTATTCAGCACCCTTCACTTCCTCGACCTCTCTGCCAGTTGTCTGCATCAACATCAACCAAGGAGGAGAGTTTGTGTCACTGACATGTGGGGTCCTCCAAGTTTTATTTATATTTCAAAGACCGAAATTCCTTGATATGTGGGTCCCACGCTGAGACCAAGTGTGACCGGTTTTGTAAGTTGAGGGATGAGTTATACTGGTATTGCACTTCAGAGACGAATTTGAAACTTAGCGAAAATTAAGGGATCTCCAATGAACTTATTGCATATTACTTGCTGAAGTTTCCTTGTTGGGCCGAGGCCGAGCAGCCCACAAAGGCCCAAACCGTGGAAGCTATGCACGAGGGCCTGATGAAGAACTGGTTAACCGTCTCAAAACAAAACTCAGTAGTCAAGATCAGTTTCCATGGGTTCTGGAATATGTTAGTTTTCATCAGAAAAATCATATGTGTTTTTACTGTCAAAAATAGGCTCATGTGGTTTCCAGAATCTCTGTTCTAGTTGCTACCAATGGTTTCTTCTTTCTAGAATATGTTCTATTTTAATGTTGCACACTTGCACTAGCAACAATCCAATGAAAGTAACTCAAGTAGGAGTAGTATATATCATGCTGAGTGGCGTTGCAATGTTCGTTCAATGCATCCACTAAACGGCGGCGCACACTTGTTGTTGTGCCACATGCAGTCATCGTCACCAAGTTTGACCTAACATGGCTTGGTATGGAACCGTGAAACCGTCAGCTCACTCGCTATCTACCAACCGAACATGGGTAAATTCGTCTACGTATGGCTGCATTTAAGTGTATAGTTTTTTTTTTCTGGTCGTTTGAAGTTGTTGGGTACAGATGTTTCTAGTGGTAAAACAAGTAGGTATCTGGTAGCAATGCTTCTCAATTGTACTACTTTTCAAGGACTTGAAAACATCTGTACATATACTCTGCTACACCATCGTAGACAGGATAAGATCGAGCACATCAGTGATGTAGCCATCAACAACGAGATGTTTATGATAACTTTATTAATCTTAAGATATAACGATCCTATCCTTCGAAGATACTCATAGCGATGTGATTTTTATTTGGTGAGTACACGCGTACTGTGAAAGCCTACGTTTATACCGTGTTTCTAAAAACAATCTAACACACCATACCACTTCTTTGTCGTAAACTTCTACTCCTAATTTATTTTGCTCGTAAAAGAAAAAATTCAAACACATCAAACCACTCCTTTGTCCTAGAATTCTACTAAAGAAAAAACTGTCTCGTCGTAAAAAAAGAAGTTTACCTCAAAAAAATTCACCTTCTTCAAGGATTCAAGATCAAGTGCGGCTGCCAGGGTTACCGCGCCCCGACGGTAAGCACGTTTATCGCGCGGTAACCGTAAAAACCATATAAAACTATGCAAAATTTATCAAAAATTTAAATTATTTTTAAAATTTATTTAAATTTAAGGAGTTTACCGTGGTATTTATATTACCGTATCCCTACGATAAACCTACGGTTACCGGCGGTAAGTCGAACCTACGCGGCTGCTCCTAGTATGGCATTTTTCTCTTGATTATCTCACATGAATTTCCTCTAATAAAATACTCTAGCACTGAAGACTAATCATGCCACGTGTCGAAAGCTGAAGGTAGCAAGCCGGACAGCCGCCCAGCTCACAAGCGGCTCGCATGGCGCGCCACGTCGGCGGCCGCCGGCGCGCGGCGAGCGAGGCCGAGCCGCGCCGCCGTGGCCGGCTTGAGCACGGCGTCCGGATCCGCCTCGATGGCGTCGGCGAGCCGCGGCCATAGCCTGGCTGACACCACCCACGACCCGTCCTCCCTGGGGCTCCGCGCCACCGTCATCGCCGCCGATCCGAGCCGGCCCGGCCGCACCCATGGCATCACCAGCGCCGGCGACCCGAACCCGAAGTCGCCGTCCACCCTGAACGGCACGAACGCCGAGACCACCACCGCCGGGCTCCCCGTGCCGATCCCCACCGTCTCCGTCCACTTCTCGCCATTCTTGAACGCCGCCGCCTTGCGGAGCTCCATCCAGTCCACGAGCTCCTCGTACCGCTCCTGCCGGAACACCTCGCCGATGGCCGCGCCGGCCATGGCCGCCACGTCGGCGAGCGGTGAGGACGTGATCGCCTCCACCGGAGACTCCCTCGAAGCGTAGGTCACCACGTTCCCGAGGTAGCTGCTCACGAGGGTTGGATCGTACTTGGCCGGGTCGAGCCGCCTCCGCCCGTCGACGAGCCACGCGAGGCGGCAGCGCGCGTCGGAGCCGTGGGTGGCCGCGGCGAGGAGCTTCCAGACGTGCGCGGAGAGCGCCTCGAGTCGCGTGGCGCGGCGGGAGGCGGTGCTGGCCGCCGCGCGGAGGCGGTCGAGGTCGTCGGCGCCGACGACGTAGTTGCGCCGCACGAGAGCGGCGGCGAGGAGCGGGTTGACGAGGCTCCCCGGCGCGTACCGCGTGAACTCGGCGTCGAGCGACGCGCCGTGCCGCGGCGGGGAGCGCGGCCGGAAGAGGGAGCGCCGGTCGTGGTGGGGCTCCCACGAGAGGCCACCGGTGCGGAGCATCTCCGCCCACGCGGTGGGCAGCGCGGTGAGGCCATGGCCGTCGACGAGCAGGTGGTTGGTGCCCCACGACATCGAGAAGCCGCCGCACTTGAACCGCACGAGCTGCAGCGACAGCGCGATGCCCTGCTCGTACGGCAACTGGATGGTCCCCAACGACCGGTCGGCGTCGGCGAAGTCCACGTCGGCGAGCGCGACGCCGGCGTCGGCCAGGACAAGCTCGGCCCCGGCGTTGTCGCACGCGACCTCGGGGATGCCCGTGGCGGCGTCGGCCACGACGCGGCCGGCGAAGGGGAAGAAGCGGGAGAGGAACGCGGGCAGGGCGGCGCGCACCGCCGCGGCCACCGCGGCGAACCCGCGCGCCGGCGCCGGGTAGACGACGATGAGGGAGACGTTGAAGGAGCCGAGGATGAGGTCGAGGTTGGAGACGGGGAGCACGGCGGGGAAGCCCGGCGGCGGGTCGGACGCCCGGACCAACGTCCGGGCGGTGACCTCGACGCCGAAGCGGCCGAGCGGCGGCGGCGGCGGCGGCATGGCGCGCGCGGCGACGCGGCGGAGTACTCGGAGCAGAGCGGGAGCCCGAGCAAGAGCAAAGAGTACAGCGAGGAAAATGCTTACGCAGAAAACGACTTGGATACGGACAGAAAATGCTTCTGCCACAATTTCTTTTTGTAGGATTCGAAAACGAAAAAAACAGAACAAATACGATAATTATCCTTCGACACGCAGTGATACACGTAGCGATAGAGTTATCGTGACTTTGAAATCGAAGAATTGAGGTGACTGAAAATACGACCCCTGTAGAATGGAACAAGATCATGAACGAACAGCATTTTTTTTTCCTTATGCTCGCTTATGCTTATGATTATCGTACAGAATTTAAATTGTCAAAGTTAAATTTAAAGTTGATTTTAGGATTTTTTTTTATTGTAGTTTATTTTTCAACCTATGTTTTTTTATCGTTAACAACACATATATAAAAGTTTTATTTTACAAATTATTTTCATTTGCAAATACGTTAGTTTCGCTTTTTTCTCCACTATGTCAAACGATGGGGCTGAAAGTCACTATGTTATCAATCGGACACACCCACGAACCCACCTATAATGCTATGGATCTACACATCAGTGACTTAAAAATGTAACGTAGGGTTGACTTAAAAATGTAAGGCAGGTGGAAAGCCTTGGCTACTTTTCAATATACAACTCCAAAATTCCAAGTTTGAATTCTGTTTGAACTGGTAGCAGACAGCATTGCAACGAGGTCAAAAGATGGCGGCAAGAAGAGCACATCAAATTAATTGTTCAATATGCACAAAGAAGAGCACATACATCAAATTGATTGTTGATAGAGCCGGTTAGCCGCCTGGTTGTCTCCGGAAAGTTTCAGAAACAAGAAGTACAATTAACGATCCGACTCTGACAGAGAAGTTTCTGAACGAGAGCGAAACCAAATTAAACGATCCAACTACTCTGTGACAAAGTGTTTGATTGCCCAGATCTATATTCTTAGAATTCAATTAAAGAGCACAGCTACAGCCTGGCGATTACATGTGCTGGCATGGGATGCCAAATGGCAAATGATATACCTTCATGTTCGATCCCCGGTGGTCAGTGCTCACTGCTGATGTAGAACAAGTAGCTAGTGAGCTAGCTTTTCCTCATTTTTGACCTTGCGTACCTGCAGCTGGAGTTAAAGGAAACAAGGATCCTTTTAACAGTGATGTACTGCAGTTATGACTTAAGCGTGGCTTCCACTTCCCAGATAACACAAATTGCTGGGTTGAAGTACATAATATATCACAAGTAACCAACTAGGCTGGCGTATTATTGCATGATTAATCAAATATTAACTAATTTTTTAAAAAAATGGATTAATATGATTTTTTAAAAAACTTACGTATAGAAATTTTTTGCAAAAAAACACACTGTTTAGCAATTTGAAAAGTGTGCGCGCGGAAAACGAGAGAGGTGAGTTGGAAAAACTGGGGGAAGAACACAGCCTAAGTTTCTCACTACGAACACATCTATATAAACAATAGTTCTAACTTCATCAACGGCTTAGCATCGCAATGTAAAAACTTATGTTGTTGGGTTGTCAACATCAACAGGTGCTTATTGCTTCACGAGAAATGCAAAATGAGCCAACTTAGGCCTAAGTCTAACCCAGCAAGGTAAACATTATAAACGAACGCTGCGAAGGTCAAATCTGCTCAGACCAAAAGGAGAGAAACAATAGTGCAATGCAGGATGGAGTATATGGATATACGATAAACAAAAGAAATGAGCAAAAACGATGCACTAAAAAGCAAGTGCCGTGTTGGACAGTAAGGATACTCAATCTGCAAGCCGTCAGCGTCAGAAGAAGCTAGCACAGTGCCCTGTAGAGCATCCATAGCAGCCGTAGAGGACTCGATATCCTGCATATTGCAAGTTTCTCTTCATTTATTTAGGGTAAAAAAAACATTTGGCCATACTACATGATCTTCAGAAATTTCATTATCATGTATTAGCAGGTAGTCAAAACTGATTAAAAAAAGTGGGGTCTTCCGTTCCATCAGTGGTTCAAATTACTAAACAAACTTTCATGATTTTTATTTTCAGACCTCTAGATTATGGTTCTTCGTAATGTAATAGAGCCTCCATTTTGGCCTAATTTATCATATATCTTAACAATTGCAAAGTTGTCAGCATTAACTGGACAGAGCTAGCCAGCATTTGCTCATAAGCTGCCCGTAAATAAAGTTAAATACGGTCATCATACTAGTTATTTTGGTGGTGAACAGTGATATCTCGACATGGACTTGTGGATGTCAATCTCCAACGATAACGTGAAGTTGTGAACAAAACGGGTCAAACACACAGCTGAAAAAACAATGAGGGGAAAAATAGAGCAAGAAAACCATATATATGTATTTACTCTAGTTAACTGGTCCATTATATGAACACTACACAGGGAAGCTAGAGCATCTCATAAGAGCAGGCATGATTACTAATTAAAAACAATAAAGGTAGGTATACCGTAAAATCAGCAAAAGCTACTGGCATTCCACCACGACGGCGCATTTTAAGCAAATGAAATCCAGGTTGCCTGTCAATAATAAGCAATGGCACTTCTTAAAAAAAATAATAAGCAATGGTTTCTTCATCGAACATTCCATTTTAGCAAGCACACTAGCGGAATTCAGGAAACATACTTAGATAAAACTTCCTTTAGCTCTTCCTCTGTGCATGAGTGACCCAAATTTGCAACAAATAAAGTAGAACAAGGTGGAATATCACTTGACAATTTGTCTGGTTGATCCTGCACAAACAAAATCATAATTCATATGCAGACTAAAGCATTTCAAGGAATACTTGCACAGGGGTGGTGTGACCCCTCTAACTGAGCCCAAGAGCTGCCACTGTGCATACTCTATGATATGGGTATTCAAAATAAGAAACACAAGTTTGAAATAAGCCAGTCTGCAAAGATCCAACATTTCTCAGGTTGGTTAATAAACAAATATAACTGCTAGATAGTTCATGCTGGCATGCATAAATCTGCATTGCAAGACTAGTTTGATTGGCAGACCTGTTCTAATAAGTAATAACTATAACACAAAACAGAGTATGTGCTTATACACAAGCATATGCTGCAGAGAACATTGACTCAAGCTATAAACTCATGCACAATTGCTAACAGCAGTGTACATAACAATGTCGTAAACTAAAAGTGTGATGAAGCGAAATTGTGACAGGAAACTCACATCTGAAAGAGATTGCCCCCTATGCTGCTTAAGCCCTGGTTGACCACTACTGTGCACGAAAGGAAGCACCAGTCATCAATGACAACCACTAACAATAAGGAAGCACATCAGCAATGTCCTATAGTTTTTACTAGAATGATATGCTAAAGTAAAACATATACATTATATCCAGCTAAGTATGATGTGAAGTGAATTTCAACCTCCGTTCTGCTGGTAATTCATTCTTTTCGTCGGAATCATCATTTTCTGTGTCCAATGGCTCATCAGATCCACCATCTCCTGAATGTTTGGTGTCAACTTAAATGCACAATGAGTTTTATAATCTGTTTTATTAAACCTTGAAAACTATATCTATACTGTGCTATTTTTAGCTACACATCTATGCAAAAGTTAATACTTCAGCACAAGACACACGTCTAATGCAAAATCTAAATTTGATATAAGCACGCTAACTCTTTTTAGTCACAGAATGTATTCAATTTGGGAAAACAAATCTTTATAAAGGTAATATGTTGCTCTCGAGTCATCTACAATCAAAATGTTTGTCCAAAATCCAAATTGAAACTGTGCCCTGAGAAATAAAAATGGGATGTAACAAGACAAAAATAAAAGACAAGGACAAACAAAAGCTCATTATCAGTTTTCATATTAATTTGATGGTCTTACCAAAGTAACATTTTAGCATCAAATTAAAGCGTTGCACCACATATGTCATATAAGTCCATCTAACAAAAGACAAGTGACGGTGTGATGGTTATGGATAACATCCAAGTGTAAGAGAATGACCATTACCATCATTACCACCATTATCATCCTCGCCCCATGCATCATCATCATTACCTCCATCACCAGCATTCTCATGGTCAGCAGCTCTTTCTTTTCTCTTAAGTCGTTTGTCAACAACTCTATAAACCCCACCATCTAGCATGAAATTGCAATTGTGTAAATAGAACGATGTCCAATAACATATTAACATGAGGCAGAGCTAAGTGCACGAAGAATTCTGATAGGAATAAGAAAATTAGTGCTAGTGTCTAAATTACACCTCCATGACGTTTACGTGAACTCGATTTAGCTAGCTCAATGTGCAAACGGTCTCCAGTATCTGGATCAAATACAGTCCCCTGAAATGGACAAATATTTGATCGGTTAGATTGATAAGAAGCCAACAGCCCTAAATAAATGCAGCTAGTAAGTTAGAAATTGAAAATATACAAGTCAGGAGGTGCACGGAACTGCGGTACGAGTAAAGGTAACACATGGAAATTCTTTTAGTTAATATTTATGTAAATGCAGGGTTGGTAAGTTCCATGTAACAAAGCAAGATTAATTTTGTCTTACAATTTGCATGGAGAAAGAGAATATAAGAGAGTTATGCATACATTATGTCAGCATCAAATTTCAACCTATGGATGTGAATTAGGCACCTTCTACAATTAACAATATGTTATACGAACATTCCATTTTCCACCTCATCGGTAAGCTTAAATTTCTAACATGTAATACATATGCTGAAGTCATGGATATGTACACTTCAATCTTCAAACTTCTAATTAATTTAGTTCACATGTCATGTTTATATAATACTTCCTCCGTTTCAGGTTATAAAACTTTCTAGCATTGCCCACATTCATATTGATGTTAATGAATCTAGGCACACATATATGTCTAGATTCATTAACATATATATGAATGTGAGCAATGCTAGAAAGTCTTATAACCTGAAACAGAGGTAGTATGAAATAACGAAGCAAACTAGAGATGATGGTTTGTCTAAATTCAGCATTAGCACACTGAGTAAGGGCCTGTTTGGTACAGCTCCAACTCCTAAATATAACTCCAGGAGTTGAGTCTGGAGTGGAGTTGTGGAGCTGCCAAAACCCAGCTCCACAGCTCTAGTACATTTTGTGAGAGAGCTCCACCCAACTCTACTCCCAGTTTTGGTGGAGCTGAAACTGTTTGGCTGAGCTACAGCTCCAGGAGGGGTAGAGCTAGAGCTGGAGCTGTGCCAAACAGGCCCTAACTCTACCAAGCAAAAAGAAGGTCTTAACAATACTGAAGAAGCGAAGAATACCAGCTTCACTTTGTTAGTACTATAATTATGAAGCTGTAAGGCTTACAGAGTACTCCCTGTGGTCGGGATACTTGACGCCAGGGATTACATACTTTAACAAATATGAAGTTGAAAAGATACAAGAGGGAAAGGATTCCAGGTCACGCAGCAAAGGATGGTGGAAATTGGTTCTTCCATAAGATGTTCAACATCATAACTCACATTTAAAGCAGACATTGCCGAAAGAGCCGCCTGATGATTAACGAATGACACGAAGGCCACCACCTGCAGCACAAGAACCAGAATTCAGGAATAGCATCGGGGCAAACAGAAACCTGGATTGTGATCCACTACAAAATCAAATACTACCAATTTCTAGATGAACCGAAGGGTTCTACTTCTACAGCCACGATGCCGAGGGTTTCGACAGCTGAAGCTTGAGATTGAAGTGAGACAGGGGAAGGGGGGACCTGGTTCCCGCGGCCGGTGTACTCGAGGAGGCAGTGGTCGAAGCCGGGGCGGCTGGAGAAGAGGTTGTGGATCTCCCGGGGCTTCACGTCGTCAGGGAGGCCGGCGACGAAGAGCGTGAGTACCCCCTGCCGCTGCGGATCTGGGTAGGGGTGCGGCGCGTACACGTAGTAGGGGTCTCCCGGCGGCGGGGGGAGGTGGTGGGAGAGGCTCATCTCGTCGGCACAGCGCCGGTGCGGCGGCGGCGGCGGCGGCGGCGCTCTCCCTGCTCCCTTCTCCTGCTCCTACGGCAATAGAGCTCTCGTCCGAACCGAAAATCGGATGAAGAAAAAAGTTAAACAATGATAAATTGAGAAGCAATTGACCGGTTTAAAACTCCACACCGGAATTTGGATAAGATTTAAACCGGAAGCAGCGGAATTTGAATGAAAATAAAATTCAAAACAGGGCTCTCGCGGATTAAGGTAACAAAATGATACTGCTAGCGGGGTTTACAAAACTATGCGGTTATCACGTATGGTAGCTTGACATACCTTGCGATAACCGTTCAACCGCGTGAGATGGTGGTAACCGCGCCTAAAACGATTTGGGGAACCCTGACTCGTCAAACCGTGAGGTGGTGGTAACCGCACCTAAAACAGTTTGGAGAACCCTGACTGCTATAACTTTGAGTAAATTGCATACAACATGTCAACACCAACACATGAAAATTTCACATATTGATAGTTACTTGCTAGTGATATGCACGGTCATCGACACATGAAAATTTCACATACTGATAGTTACTCCCTCTGTCCCAAAATATAACAACTTTTAGCCCTCAGGATTTGTCTCAAAATATAACAAATTTTCCACCAACATTGTCTTCTCAACCAATCACAACCCTCTACCATTCACTTTTCCCACCTACCTCCACTATTCATCCAATTACAACCCTCTAATACTCACATCTACCCACTTTCTTAATAACCGTGTCCAACCCTAAACTTCTTATATTCTGGGATAGAGGGAGTACTCGCTATTGATATGCACGGTCATTGCAGACTTCCACGGTTGATTGGATTTTTGGACTCTGGCACGATCTCCGAGATGCTACATTGACCAACAATATCTATAAAAGTAATATGTTTTAAATAAAATGAGCTCCATATTATGATAGTTTGTTTAATGATAAATCTAGTGACATCAATTTTACGTGATTGATCTTGTTTATTCTTTTGCTATTAATAGTCAAAGTTAAAAATGTTTGACTTGTCACCATGCTAAAAATATTTATATTTTGGAATGGATGGAGTAATAGTTTTAGTTATTACTCCTAGAAAATTAACCACTCCAGAACAAAATTACAATGCCAATACATCCACAATTCCACAGCGCGTAACCAAATTTCAGACACGGAGGATTGGGAATTCAGGCTGAACAATTCAGAGTCTAAACAGTTCTGTCTGCAAAATGCTACGATCCAGCACCTTATAAGAGATTTACAGATGAGTAAGTGAGCAATACATCATGATGTTCATATCATTAATTATCAGCAACACATACGAAAGAATACTTTGGTTTGTGGCTGAGCAAATCCAAAGGCAGTGCAGGAATCCGAAAAATTACAAAGACATGGTGCATCATGTTTTCTAAATGATTCATCGACCCAGAAGTGTGACGCGGTCCTTCTGAATGACCTGAGCCAGGTTGAGATCAAAAAGCTCACAACGAATTGGCATCTCCATCTCGTAGAATGGATTTTTCAAAACAAAATCCGTGTAGAGCTCGTATATGACTTTCAGTAGTGTCTCGATATTTTGAGCACCAGTTTCGCATACAGCAAAAAACTTTGTCCCTGGTGAAACAGAAGCAATCATACAGATCAGCAGCAGGCAAGTGCAAACCACAAAAGGACACTGATTTTTTTTTGGTCTAACAATCAACAATTCGGAAAAACACCTGCCCCATGAAACAGAGGTGGGTCACTATGTTTACAATTGAACCAATTTAGCAACATTCCTTTCAGTCACCAAATAAAGTATAACTGGACAACTAACTCTAGAGATGTACCGGGGCCTACTTAAAGATCAAAAGGCACAATATAGTCAAGAAAGTATGTTCTCCAACATTCCAATTAAAATGTTTAGCACAGAAAAAGATATACTGAGCAGACAACATATCCCAATGCTTTCATTGTCTTTTTGCAGTATATATCTGCACCTAGTATGGATCAAGAAATATCTCACTTCTGCCAGACATTCACACTAAAGTTCAGTAAACATTGCAATCCGGCTCCATAAGCCATACTTATTATTGAAGTATCAAATTAATACTAATATCTCACACACTAACTCCCTTGTACCGAAGTTTTCGAGAATTCTGAAATGACAGAACTCTAAGATCTTGCTGCTGAAAAATGGCTAGAAACTAGAAAACACAATACCCACCAGAATCAAGCACTAAATTCAATTAGATTGGCCAAACTTGTTTCGTCATTATTTATACTTCCCATGAACTAAAGTCTTGGCATGGCTTGAACATATATATCAATGTAACTCGTCCAAACTGCCATTTATAGGAGTGTGCTATTGTTAGTTTGTTAGTTTGTTAGTTTAATATATTTTGTCCATCAAGCAAGCTACGAGTGAGAGTGATAATGCTCACAATGCATACAACTGAGAATGCTGCCCACTTTAAGGAACAGGCCCCAAGTACCCAACTGCCAAGCCACAAGTACAGAAACATTATTTCAGCAAATGCAAAGCCTGTAAATCACACTCAGACTATGCTTAGCAACCGCAAGATACAAGCCCATGATTATGTGCTTATAATTCATGTCACTATCTCCACAACATTCAGAAATCGGAACAACTAAAGAGAAACTTTGTGAAAGATTAGAGATATGATGCATACTTATAGAAAAAAAAACGACAAACTGTAATAATTGACTTCCAACCCAATAATACTAAGAACTTTGCAGCTATAAGCATCCGGATCAGATTTATCATGAAAATTTACAACTGAGGAGGATGATAAAGACCTGTGAGGGACTGGAAGCAATGGAGATCAAAGTTATGGGCTTGTAGAAGGTCAATGCCTTCGCAGCCATGTGTAGGGGACAGCTGCTGGGAGATAGCATGCATGGAATGCCAAAGACTTGCCAAGCGTAGACTGTCATTGGTGTCCGTCCTACCTGCTGAGCCATAGTCCTGGACAAATGAGATGTGCAAGGTGTTCAGAGTCCAGCTCCGAAAGAACGAAGAGAAACAGGAGTACAGTAAACAATACCTTGTAGTATATAAGGCCGCCAGATTTGTTAATGATGAAAAGGCTGTAGATTGCTGCTGACGCCATTATCACACAAGAATGCTGAGTAGAAACTGAAGTAATTTTCCTGTATTAGCTGCAGAGAAGCCTAATAAAAATTTGACACATGTAAAAGGGAAAATGGAACTAGTAAAAGGATGGCCTTCCTACAAAGTGGTTTGTAAGCTATTTTTAATGAAACAAATGGGAAGATAATATGCAAGACAAATTATGGATCGATTGCCCTCTTTTCAAACTGCACATAACTTTGTTCAATGCTGATACACCATAAACTAATACTCCAAGTTTACAACCATAAATTGAAATTGGGACTTGAAGCCTTCGATTGACGACAATGAATTGTCATTCCAACTAATTGAAGTGGAACATGAAGACTTAGAACTGACAAAGGGTCACCACTCTAACTAAGAGCATTCCATTTTCTTACAGGACACGTTGCATTTCTAAGCAAGTTTGCTTATGGCCTGATCCACGCGGTGGCACATTTGAAGGTTCAAAGGCCAGAGGAGGGGAAAATCCGGGATGGACGGAGGAGGAGGGAGGAGAGGCGTCGCCAATCACGCAAGGGCTTCGTGCGCATGCGGCGCGAGGGGATCGGGTGAGCCGAGGAGGGGAAGAGATCCACAATCTGAAGAAACACAGGGAATCCTCATTCCCCCAACCTGAGAGCATCCGGGCTATCTGCGTGGTCTCCCACCGATCTTTCTCGCCTGCACTGCACACACGCACGGAGAGTCGGCGAGAGCGAGCGCCAGCCACGTACCTAGCACCACGGCGAGACGACGCAGGGATTTCAGCAGGTGGTGGTGCGTGCGGGCGTGCGTGCGGCCCGGCGAGGTCGTCGCTCCCGCTCCGTCCGCCGGCGTCTTTCTTGGCGGCGGGATCTGCCGCGGCGAGCGATCGGAGCTGAAGACGAGGTCGGGAGCTGAAGAAGCTTTTTTTGACGGAGGAGAGATGGCCAGTGACGGCTGATTGCGTTTTTGCAGCTAGCACCCTTGCCGCCCAGGGGCCTGCATGCAAAAAAGCAAGCGCGGGCTGACCATTTTGCAGACGGCCCCCTTCGGCCTGCCGCCCTGCACTCCCTCCTCATTTCTTCTCACCTCCACCCTTAAAAAAAAAAAAAAAGAGGGGGGAGAGGGGAGGAGAAGAGAAGAAGAGGCGAAGCCCTCATGGTTTGAGATCCGATTTCAGGTAATATTTATAGGTCCTATATGTGACTATTTAGTTAAGTAGTGTGTATTTTTTAAAACTTTGTTTGAATAAATGTATTATATTATCTAGGGTTTTAGTTGGATTACTGTACAACTGCTATTGTTAGATATAGGTAACTACGTAGATTTGTAGTTTTAAATGTTGTTGAGTAGCATTACTTAGGCATACATAACAAGATATTAGATATAGGTAAATATGTAGATCTGCAGTCTTTGTAGTTTTAAATGTTGTTGAGTACCATTACATTAGCATACATAACAAGATATTACGTTGTAGGCGTTTATTACACGAAAGAATGATCTAGTTATTTCGTTGACAGATATGTCCAACAAACATATATTTCAAGTTTACCATGGCCCAGGAAACGTCCGTTACGGGCCGACTGGGGTAGATCTGTCATAATTTATTGTAACACCAAGGGGAATTGATAGACCGGCTGAGAGGAGTGTACCTTCTATAAAAGGATGGTTGATGAGGGGCTTGAGAGTTAATCCACATACAAGTGACATAACAATCAATGTTATAGTAAGTCGGGCAACTGAGGGTTTTTATTGGGAACTAATGCCAGTTCAAAACTCTCGAATGTGGAGATGGTATGTGGAGAATGCATTGCAGCACGGGTGGCCTCTAGCTATAGTTCCGTTTGTTCACCCGAAGGATCCAAGTGTGAAGATGAACATGGATGATGGCGAGGGACCAAGTGCTGAAGTGAATGAGACTTCCGTGGAAGAGGTCAACGCACCAGAGGACCAGGCGTACTGGATGACTACGGTTCCGATGGTCTTCGACATCTGCATTAAGCCTCACGCCCCTTACCGCGTGATGCAGCGGTTCAGCTTCCGTCAGTTCTTTCCAGTACCGTTTCCGACGAGCGTCCCAGCTGCCGTTCACCGGTAAGAGCTTTCACTACGCTTTGATTTGTTGCATTAAAATCTACCTCTCCATAATAATTTGCTTCATCTGTCGATTCACACTAATATGATACATTAATTCGCAGGTACTCGCGCAAGGGTCAGCAGTCAATTGGCGATTGGCCTGCCAAGTTGGGGCCTTTTGTTGAGGACTGGTTGCTCGCAACCGAGGAGGTCGTGGACCACGAGGGGGAGCCACACACCGAGGAGGCGTACCAGGCCTACCTATGCTAGTACTAGCCACGCACCCGTACTAGGGTCACCTTCGCTCCCGTGGAGCAACAAGCCCACGCTGTGTCACACCCCGAAGTTCACCTCCCAAGCCTAAATTTAATTTATAAATGACCCTAAGAAAATACCGGTGCAAAGCAAGAGTAAACCCTTTTAAATCAATGCAAATAATAATCGGAATTGGCATGTGGAATTTTTCTTGAGTTCTACATGTCGAAATTCTCTAACAAGATTTTTAGTGGAATATTCAGAGCCCTAGATATAATTTTAACCAATTAAAATGGAGCAAGCAATATTTTAATTCCAGGGAAAATCCTTTTCTCCTTTTTCTTTTTCTTTTTCCCTCCTTTTTTCGAATGGGCCGCTGGCCCATTCTCTCCTTTCCTCCCCCTCCTCCTTGCTGGGCCGGCCGCAGGCCGAGGCCCAGCCAGGCCGCCCCGCCTTCCTCCTCTTCCGGGGTCGCCGACAGGTGGGGCCCACCTGTCGGGTCCTTCCCCAACCCCGCCGCACGCGCCCTCCTCCTCGTGGGCCGGCCCAAGCCGCCCCTCCCTCTCTCCCCGGGACGCCGACAGGTGGGCCCCACCTGTCGGACCCGTCCCCTTCCTCCAGCCGGCGCCGCCGCGCCCGCAACCGCCGCCGCGCCCACGCCTCCGCCTTCTCCGGGCCACGTCAGCCACGTCCGCGCGTGCGCCGCATCTCCCGCGCCCACTCCCCTCTCTCTCGCGCCCGCGCCCGCGCCCGAGATGGCCGGGATTCGATTTTCGAATCCCGCCTCTCTCTCCTCCCCCACTTCCCACGTTGGCCGGCGAAGCCCCGCCTCTCCCGGCCACGTCCGGCCCTCCCCTCCCCTATTTAAGCTTCTCCGTCGCACCCTCTCGCTTTTTCCCCATTTCGCCGAACTCCCTCGTGCTCCCCATCGCTCCCGCGCCGTGCAACCACTCGCCGCCGCCGTCTCCGCTACTCCGGCCGCCGTTAGCCGCCGCTAGGCTCGCCGCCGCACCGCGCCGTCGCCGCCGTCGGGTTCGCGGGGCCGAGATCCACCCCGTCCACCCCTCCTTCGTCGAGGTTCGTCGCCGGAGCGCCATTCCCATCGTGCGTCGGTGAGGGTCGCCATGTCCGCCGCTTTCGGCCGGCATTCCCGTCTCCTATGGCCCCTCTCTTCCGCGTGTCGACCTCCCTCCGTCGCTCCTCGTCGCCGGACGCCACCGTCCCCTCCGGTGAGGACTCCCTCCCCTTTCCTTTTCTTCCCCATTTCCCCGTGCGTCGCTGCCGCTCGCGCTCGCCGTCGCCTTCGGTCGTTGCCGCCGTCCGCTGCCGCCGCTTTCGCGTCGCTTTTGCGCCGTCGCCTCCGCCGCCGGATGCCGTCGCCGGCAACGCGACGCGCGCGTGCCGCCGCCGCTAGCCCTGGCCGGCCGGTTGGCTTTGATGCCGAGCCGAGCCCGGCGGCCACCTCTATCGCCGCCCGTCCGATCGGCCCGAGGGCGATCTGGGCCGTCGGTCTCGTGGACCGGCGGTGGACCACCTGCGTGATCCCGGTCCACGGTGAACCGCTCTCCCTTGAGCCGCTGACCAGTGGGCCCCGCTTGTCGGCGCCGCACCCCCTCCGTGCTGACGTCAGCCCTGGGAAAATATTGCGCAATAAAATATTTAAGGATTTTTGTTATAGTAATAAACACAGTGAATCTTCTAAAATTCATAACTAATTCATACGAGCTCCGTTTAAGCCCATTCAAGTCTCAGTAAATCAAGAAAAATGTGTAGAATCCTTTAAAAATGGTTTTGTTCTCTGTTTCAGTAGTCTTATAGCCTGTTTGCAATGTTTGCCTTGTATGTCGCTAGATTCCGGTTCCTCCGACGCTCCGGTGTACTTCGAAATAGTCGCCGAGGTTCCTCCAGCAGCAAAGCAAGGCAAGTCATGCTTGTCACTTGAACATGTTGATCCTATATTGCAAATTCTCTATTGTTTTCCTTCAAATATTGCATTGTTTTATAATGTTACTATGGGGTGTTTACCTATTGTCATAGCCATGCTATTGTTGTACCATGTCCCTTTGTCAGCTTGGGGTTATAACATGACTAGAGATTGGACTAGGGATTGCTTAGCCATGCTTAGTTCAACTAGTGCACAATGGGGAAAATCTTATTAATGTTCAGATTGTTGGATTAGTGCCACCGCTTTGATGCTGGTTAATTAAAATAAATCACATGGTGGGCTGTGGGTGCATGGTTTTGCTGGTCGCACCCATGGCAGTTAAGGACCGGTTCGCGGGATGCCCTGGAAGAACTTATCGTACTTACCACAAGCCAGCGTGGGCAACGGCTGGGCTTGTAGTGTAGCTCTCCTCTAGGGGCGTGATGGAGCGGGGCGGGCCGTGCGACGGCCTCTGTCGCTTCCGGATTCACCTAGGCACGAGAGGGGACTGCCCGCTGCCTTGCGAGGAGTGGGGGTGAAACCTGAGGTGTGGTGTGCTTGGTTAGAGGGGGTTATGCGAAGGGTCCTGTCACGGCCTCTTTCCGGTATGTCGTGGTGACATGTCGGCGCACGGTAACGTGTCGTGGGGCTGTGTCTTGTGGGTACAGTTGTACACCTCTGATCAGAGTAAAACTATTCGAATAGCCGTGCCCGCAGTTATGGGCGGTCAACCAGATTCACCGTGATTAGTCTCACCCTAGTGTAATCTTTTGGAATTTGGATAGTTTAGGTGGATGGTTGGGCCTGTTGCAACGTGGGATAACGTTGGATAGTGGATAGTTAATACTAATTAAATATTACAACTGTTTAATCTTTCAACTTCTGTTTATAAATGCTCGCTTTATGCAAATGAACCACTTTAGCTCTTCTTTGATGATTCCCTGCATCATGCCTCTATTCCGGTATGACTTGCTGAGTACAGTGGGTAGTACTCAGTCTTGCTCTACTTTTCCCAACCCCAGAGTACGAGAGTGTGTCAGATGAAGGTTTCTCCGAGGAGTAGGCTTCGTCCGTGCCGTCGAGGATGCCTGTGGAGTGGTGTTCCCGCTGCAGTTCTAGTCAAGGCGTAGCTCCTGTCGTCTTTCTTTTCTTCCGCTGCATTTGTGTAAGACTTTTATGATGTTTGTAAGACGTGGATCTGAATGTCAACATTGTCGTTTGTGTACCCCGGCCGGTCCTAGACGGGGATTTTAATGCATATTCTGCTTGGAATTCTACTCGGGAATTTCTGGGCGTGACACGCTGCGAGCACTAGAGACCTCTACCCAGGCACCGCGACCAGGACTTCGCTCGTGCTGTGAGTATCCTGCATCGCACCATTCCATTCTCTTCTATTCCTTTCAATTGGTCAAATTTTACAAATATTTACGAACAAATTAATCGTGTAGGTCGTCGACTGCAACAGGATCATCGTTGACGCTTCAACGACGATCCAACGTTTAGGCGCGAGGATTGGAGTACCCGTAGAGGAGCACCTGACGACGTACACGCGGATAGTGGACTCAGCGCGCTCGGTTCTCGGACTGCTCACCTGTCGTGCTGACGATGTTGCTCAGGCAGACGTAGCACCACAGCGGCCACCCCGACCGACTGGTCCTCGTCCAGCTGCGCATGTTCCTAGACCGACTCCCCCCTCCCCACGGAAGTAAGTATATTTAAGGTTTTTTTTACATGCCTCGCACATATGTGTGAACCGATTGATCCGATTGCTTCAGGGTTTCGTGCACCGTTCACCACCCGCCTTCCACGAGTACGCCTCCTGTTGTGCCCCCCACAAGTACTTAAAAAAACAACACTATATCGACAATCAATTTACATGCAATTTATGTCTCAGCTTACAAGCGTCTCATTGTCAATGTGTAGGTTTTGCCCAGTTTGATACGACATAGGCCGCCCACTTCTCCCAGGCTGCAGGGTCAGCGTCTCAGGTAGCTACGTCGGCCTCGCACTATACGTAGTTCTGGCGGTACGCTGGGGCTTCGTCACAGGCAGCCGGCACGTCGAGTCGGGGTCCACCACTGGACCATGCCGGGACCTCGTCGGAGTACGGGTTGGCTTCCGCCTTGCTCTTCGACATCAGCGACTCCAACTTCCAGGTCTCGACAGAGGACGTCATCGGGTCCTCACAGCTGGGAGGCGCGCCGCCGGTGCAGACGCAGGACCAGCCGCCCTCTACTCCGCCGCCAGACACTCGTGCTACCCGTGCTGTGCCATCGGATTGTATCACGTACTCCCAGGACCACGTGCGAGCACAGGCCCGGAGGACCAAGCGTGGTCGCGGTGCGGGGCAGGGCCAGTAGAGCAGACTTCTCTTTGTTTATTTACTTTACATGCTAGTACTGTATGCTTGTATAATGAATACGTTGTTGTTATTTGGGTTTCGCATCCCTAAACTTCGCTGTTACTTTTTACGAAAGCACAATACCTTTCGGCGCATGCACGAGTACTTTCTGCCGCACCGATGCAGTCTCCTTTATTCACGTGCGATACGACTATGGAATGACTGACCCACCATGGCCCGTATACGTCCAATCTTACTTTTGGCGCCAATCAGGCGTACCCACCATGTGCTAACTTTCGGCGCAATCTTACTTTCGGCGCCAATCAGGCGTACCCACCATGTGCTAACTTTCGGCACCAATAAATAATTCTTTAATTATTATCAACATAGCAGGAAAAAAAGCATTTGGTTGCTGTTTTGCATCTGGGCCCCTTGCCGCCGAAATAGCTAGCCACATGCTTCTTTCCTGCTGCGAAATTTGCATTTCGCCCGCAAAATGTGCAGACGGCGGGTGCCCTCCACTAGAGCGGCAGGGTCTATTTTTGTAAATCTTTTCACCAATAGATTATTTATGTAAATATTTAAAAAATATTAAAAATGAAAAAAATTCGAAGCTAAATCCTGTTCTGGCCCAGATGTAACGAGCCCGTAGGCTGTAGCAGCTGCTATCCCGTTAAGGGCCTTCAGACCCAGATAATATACTTCCCCCGTTCCACAATGTAAGTTATTATAGCATTTCCTATATTCATATTGATGTTAATGAATCTAGTAGATATATATGTCTAGATTCACTAATATCAATATTAATGTAGGAAATGCTAAAATGACTTACATTGTGAAACTGAGGGAGTATTGTTGAGTGGAAACAGTGCACTTTTGGTCCGAGTTTCATTCACGTCGTTTAACCGCGAAATCAGATACAGAACATCTTAAACTATTAAAATCAATTGCAAAAATCGAGTTATTCTTGTTAGAGAACTTCTAATTATCAATATCAGTTCAAATGAAAAGGAATGATTTCTACCGATTCCTTTGAAATTCCAATGAAATAGACTATTGTAGAGGAATTATGAAGAAAAAAATATACATAATTCATATTTCCTTTTTTCCATGTTTTTGAATTCCTACTTTCATACGTGACTATCAAACAATAGTTTTGAAGCCTTTCTTTGTTTTCAAATTTTAGTAGAATCTAATAAACATGACATTTTAAACGGGCCCTAAAATTGCTACACGCCGTCGTCGGCGTCCCGGCGCGCCCTTTCCCCTTCCCCTTCCCGCGCCGGCGTGCTCCCTCCCTTCCCCGCAAAACCCTCCAAAACCCTCTCGAATTCCGGCCCATTCCCCCCTCCCTCTCCAACCCTTCCACCCCATGCCCCACCCCTCCGCCGCCGCGATGCTCCCCTCGCCTTCCTCCCTCCTCCGCCTCCTCCGCCGCCCACACCCTCGCCTCCTCCCCCCGCCGCCCCCGCTCCTCACCCGCTTCCTCTCCTCTTCCTCCCCCGGCGACGCCGCCGGATGGGCCTCCTACGACCCGCTGACCGACAGCCTCGCCCCACCGGCGGCAGCCGCCGCCGCGTCCGACTCGGAGGCCCCCGCGGAGGGCGAGGCTTGGGGCGTGTTCGACGCCGTGACCGGCCGCATCGTCATGAAGGAGCACCCGCCCTACTCCCAGCCGCCGCCGCCCGGCCCCGACGAGGAGAGGTCCAAGGTGGGGAGGAGGAGGAGCGCTGGGGTGAAGGACGAGGCGAGGTGGTCGTCGGTGGCCGCCGTGGGGAAGGCCCGCGGCAAGGCGGGGAAGGAGAGGGCCTCGTACGTGTGCGGCAACTGCGGGGAGGGCTTCTCGCAGTGGTGGGGCACGTGCCGCCACTGCGAGGCGATGGGGACCCTGACCAAGTACGTCCCGGGCTCTGATCCTGGTGCCTCCGTGGGGTCACACCATGCCTTCCGGTCGTGGATTCCGCAGAAGAGCAAGGAGATGGTGCCCCAGAGCCTTCAGCAAGTGACCAAGGGAGTTGATCAGTCCGAGTGGCGAATACCGCTGTAACATCTCTCACCATCAACACTGTTATTTCTTCATATTAAATCATGCAAGTGTGCGAAAAATTTGAATATATGCATCTTCTTTAGTTCTGTCTCCAAACTCTTGTACATTACTAGTAAGTGTGTCAAATATATGATTGTTATTTGCGAAAACATGAATGCGCTCTACAATTTTATTCTCCATGCGTTAGTTCTTTCCATTATTGGCTGATGATGTTCATGGATCTATCTTACTTGTAGGTCCGGGAACTTCGGAATGGAGATTGCTCGAGTGCTTGGGGGTGGGGTTGTTCCTGGTAAAACATAACTCTGAAGTATGAACTTTCATGGTACAGCTTGAGAAGAAAGTCGTAACTGTGTATAGGGCTGTAGGTTCACATGTCATATTTGTATAAATTCCATACCCTGACATGGATTTTACAATTTATCAACGCTTTTGAATTGCACATGACAATCATATATATCGGTAAATATGACAGCATTTAAATGGTATTTAAAGTGTTATGGTTATATGTTCTTTTGCCTTTTGAAACTGACTCTGAAATGAACTATACATTCCTCACAGTGAATGCATAGATAATTTCTTGAATTGGCTTTGATGTTTGAACCCACATCTTCTGCTCTATATGTTTTACTTGTTTTTAACGTTCTTATCATTTCTTTTGAACATGTAACATGGTGAAATACCAATTATAGCAGAGTTCATACACCGAAATAATTATGGCTGAGTTTCAGATAAATCTTTAACTTGTACCTCACCATGTTGTTGTGACTCTATTTCTGTAAGTTTTCTTTTCATGTCGTACCATTCTACTTCTGGGTTATGTTTATCAAGTTTGAGAAATGTACATGTAACATGTCACATGGTCCACACGGATCTTTTTGTTACTACATGCTATCAATGGGATACATGCTACCTACTGTATACCATGAGTTGTTACATAATTTTGCAGGGTCCTTGATTCTAGTAGGTGGGGATCCAGGTGTAGGAAAAAGTTCATTGATATTACAGGTAAACACACGCATTTGGCTATTCATTGTTAGTTGATCTACCTTTTTCTTCAGGTGTTTCCAAGCCATCACAATTTACTTATCACACAAATTTGGAATTTTAATACTTTATCTACCTACTTAATTACATGCTGAGTTTTAACCTTGTTATTTTCAGTACCTAATTTTAACTTTTGGAATTGTACAGTTACATCTCTTTCTGCTTCTTTTTCCTGTATAGCTTGCTTCTATCATGTCCGAGAATATTGGTGCTGGGGAGTCTTCTGCTATCGTATATGTGTCTGGCGAGGAGGTTGGTTACTGCCTTGTTCCATCTCTACCGTTTGTGCATTCTCAAGTGTCAACTGTTTCAGTTTCTTGTTGGCAGATTCATGGGCATATCTACTGAAAATCTTATGATAACCTTTAATATTTAATAATGATCTTAGGTCTGATACTTATTTCGAGAGCATTGTTTGATACACATGTAATTTTGTCCCCAGAGCATTGAGCAAATTGGAAACAGGGCTGATCGGATGAGTATCAAGTCTAGAAATTTGTACTTGTATTCTAGTACAGATATCGAGGTAACATTATTTGGCTGGCACTAATTATGTGCATTAAAGATTTATTATTTGTTTGTTTTATAATGGCTTTTTTAAAGGATGTGAACATATAAACTAAGTTTCAAATTCAGAGAATTTCTCATAACCTGCTGTTCTAATAATAAGTTGAGTGTGACTTTAATGTTCTCAAGTGCTAAAATTTGTTGTATCCTCTTTGCTCATCCACTTATATGCAAGGATCTCATATGACGCAAATAAATTAGCTTTGGAAATTTCCATTTTATGGTTTCACAGTAGCTTCAGATCTATTAAATGATTGGTGCATGATGATAGTTCAAATTTCATATCTTCAAGGAAAATTTAACATTGTAAGAACTGCTGTTAAGTGTTATTTAACCCTTCCCACCCCAGCGGTTGGACTGGAAAAGAGCAGATCAATAGCTTTCTGGGGCTGGGTGAGCGGATCATTTTGGTCTGGTAAAACTGGACTTGCTCAGGCAGGTTTGCGGTTGATCAGCTGATCTGCCCATTATACTCTACCAATCTGCTCTTCATTAAACATTGTTCTTTATATTCAATACCAACCGCTAAGATTACTCTCCAGAGGCACCGGGTACAATTAAATGATACGCTCCGATCTCATTGTGTCATAAAGGCAGGCTTGCTCTGCTTGGTTAATGTAGTTTGAAATTCAGCTAAATTTCTCTCTACTACTTCATGTATGTCGGGGATGGTTCTTCTATACTTTGTGTACATCTGTTGATATTGAGTATAACATATGTGTGGTCTGGGTGTTGATCTTCCTGTTAATGGCCCAGTGTCCCGAGGCTTTATTACCAGGTTGATGGACATGACAAATCTGATATCACCATGTTCTGCAGTAGTGGCTTTTAAAGAAATTTGGGCCTGGATTCTAAATGCTTCCATGGATATAGTACATGCGACCTATGGTTTAGACACCAAGCTTATGTGATCTCTGACTTTTATTATACCATTTAACCAAGTCAAAACATTTCTATCCTAGAGGAAACCTAAGCAACCAGAGTAATAATCAACAACCAGATTACGCTGACAAATTGTTTCTCAACATTCTTGTTCCACAGGATATCTTGGACAAAATCCAACCATTATCTCCTAGGGCACTCATTATTGATTCAATTCAGACAGTTTATCTAAGAGGATTTGCTGGAAGTGCTGGGAATATGACTCAGGTGCCTATGCTACTTCATCTGATAGGTTCCTGAATCCTGATTATCTGTAGGCATGCCTGCCATGGCATGTCATGTTTAACCTGTATAAACTCTTTTCTAATTTTCTTTATATTATACCTGTCAATTGCAGTCCATTAGGGCATATATATAGACAGCAATCTAATTCCATGCAGGGGTGAATGCAGCCATAGGCTAAACCCTGGGTCGGCCTTGCTTATATTGGGCTGAGTTTGAATTTCTGTGGTCAAATCGGCATATCTTCATCTTTTTAGTCCCAGGACTAAGACCAGGACCCAAGCGACCTGAGTCCTGTCTGTCCTGCCTCCGTAGGGCCGTTGGTACTGCATGTTAACAGTACTCATATGTCGCTGTTTGTGGTAGTTGTTTGGGTTAAAGGTCAAGTCATAGTGTCTATATTCGTACAGTTTGGTATCTATTTTTCATCAAGAAAATAAATAAACAAGAGTCTGTAATCGCCCCCTCTTCTCCCTTGCCCGTCAATACGAACCCTTTACGCATCTGCTGATTATTATTGTGTCCGGGTTACTGTATGCGAATGATCAATATGAACCCTTGCAATTCAAACTGAAGGTTGTGTTTTCGGTATTCTATCATGAGTCAATCTTTCTAATTTATATCAATCATGGGTTTGCCTTGAATGCCATTTATATTCCCTTTTTCTTTTTTTCCCTTTTGCTATATCTAAATGTTCACTTCACCTTAAATAACTAGTTTTTAGAGTCTTAGCGTTGCATCTACTAACATTTTAATTTATGAGCTACATATTGCATATCTAATTCGAGTCACAGATGTCCTGATTTCATGAAGTGGATATTGCTTCTGTGCTACTGGAAAATGCGCACATTCACATCTCTACTTGTTGAAATGTCTGCCTTTCTTTTGTGGACAATAGGTGAAGGAATGCACCTCTGCGCTGTTAAGATTTGCAAAATTGACAAATATTCCTGTTATCTTGGTAAGTTTCCTAATGTGCAAGAAGTTTATTGTTTTGTATGGTACGTCCTATTCCTTGATGAATCTGTGTCTTTGTTCTGTTGTCTTCATCAATAACCTTTTCTTTCCCTTCCATTTTCCTTTTTCAGATTGGACATGTTACAAAAACTGGTGATATTGCTGGTCCCCGTTTGTTAGAGCACATTGTAGATGTTGTTTTATATATGGAGGTTGGTAAATTACCCCATCAAACACAGTTTTCCTTATAGATTAGGAATACTGGAGTGTATCAAAATTTTTATAGCCTGTTGTAGATTATATAACAAATACTGTGTTACACTTGTAACCAATCCTTTTGTGATATCTTTGTATGTCGTATATTTCCTTCCTGGGTGCCTGGTTGAGAAGAAATTAGTGATTCGATTCATGTAGCCTCATGTATGTGCCACCTTCATCTCAGAAACTAGAAAGTAATATTTGTTTTCTGCAGAGACGGAGAGAATTAGCCCATGGCCTTGGCTGGACCTGCTTGCATTGGCTCTTTGTATCTTTCAATACTTTTGCAAGTTCTCCTGGAAACTAAATGAGCCTTTAATTCTAGGCCTGGAACCTCACCTGTAATTATTTAAACCCGTGAGATGGTAAACATGTAAATTTGTGATAGGTTGCAAGTTCCCCTTAACATGCTGTTTATTGTTGTTTAATTATTTCTTATGAGTTGGCATGTTCTAGGTTGAAAAGCCTAATAGAAAGTTTGGTGCTTGTATTTCAGGGAGAGAGATGCTTATCTCATCGGTTGTTGCGATCAGTGAAAAATCGTTTCGGTTCAACAGACGAGGTAAGTGTAGTCTTATATTTATGTGGAATATATTTCTTTAGTATATAAAAGTTTCTGTTGTGGACTTGTCTTGTTAGTGCTAAGATGCTAATATCTATTATCTAAAAAAATAATGATAAGATGTGAATGCTTCATATTCGGATTAATGTGACCAATAAGATTTAATCTTCTCTAGACAAGCCATTGTTAGCATTTTTCCTCTAACAGTGCTGTAATCATCAAAAGTGTGGTTCTCTAGACAAACCATGTAAAAGGTTTAATTCTTCTCCTTGTAGCTGTCCTTATATCAGAGTATCAGACCAAAAACTTTATATATCGGTATATGCTATCTTGTTAGTATTACTATTACATGGAATACCTTGGAATAAAGCAAAACACAAGAAATAAATCTCTTTTACGTGGTTGCAATAGTTTGATTTTGGAAAATATTTCGGGATAGTAACAGCTACATCTTCTAATTTGTTTCTGAACTTTCATTTAATAAGTTAGTACTGTATAAGGCGCCTTTTCCACTTCTTGATTTAACAGTTAGTTAAAAGCATATTTGAGTGGGAAAAATAAAAATCTTATTAGAATTAGCAGTCACATAGCTAACTAGATTCCATATGGAAGAACAACACATCAACTTTAAACTGGCCCTAAAGCAGGTTTACGTTTGTTTTTTCAGCTTGGTGTATTTGAAATGTCAGGATATGGTCTACAACCTGTTCTGAATCCAACCGAGATGTTCTTAACTGAACATGATTTGGATTCTGAAATACTAGCTGGACTTGCTGTGGCTGTTGTTTTGGATGGATCCAGGACATTTGCTATTGAAGTTCAGGTACACTATGATTGTCAGTGTCCTTTTGAGTTTGCTAAATTATTTTTCTCCTACCACATATATTATTCTCTTATTATCATATTGCCTTGAGCTTACCATTTTAATGAAATATGTTGTTTATCAATAACATCCATCTTCTGGCTTTTGGGGCTCTATTTGTAAAATACATGGAAAGATTTAGAAATTACAGTTTTATGGACTAAGCTCATTGCTTTGTAAATGTTGTACGAGCAACTTAGCAACCTCTTACACAGTGATATCATATCGCAAGCTTGTTCATAACTCTTTACTTTGCTCTATTTTAGGCTGTCTTGACAGTTGGTTTGTATTGTTCATGCATTCTGTATAATGCATCCGAGAAATATGGAAATATAATTTGTTTCTGAAATCCCCTTTAGTAACATGCTACTGCTTTAAAAACATTTTCACCTTTCTTTAGTACTTTTTTCCCTACTGCAGTTTAACCATGGTGCTTCTTCTATGACATGAAATTTCTGCTATTTTGCAGGCATTGTGTGTTTCAGGTTCTCCTCGCAATGGAGAAGTTGTTGGTATACCGAGAAATAGGGCTGATATTATAATCTCAGTAAGTGTTTAAGTGCTCCCGTACATACTTCCAAGTAATAAAATGACCTGCCCCCATATGTGGTGCCTATGTCAGATTTTTTTTAACCTGAACTTTGGATAGCACCCAGCTGGATGGACAGCTTTGCAGGACTCGATCTAGTGGGATGCATGTTTGGACTAACTTTATGGTGTTAGAGATGCATAATAATGCCAATCTACATTTTTTTAAGCATGTTAGATTGTTCTAACACTTCCCGGCGAGATTGTTCTAACACTTAATTTCAAGTGGGCCTGGTCATGATTGTTTTTATCAACTTCAGTGTAAGTACCATATTTAAGAACATGCTAGTACTCCCACCGATTCCAAATGTAAGTTGTTTTGGACTTCACCACTCTCTAAATGTAATATGTTAGGTTAAGCATATCAAGAACTACAGCAATATTATTCTGTTTACAAAAAGCATATCCCCTAAGATGATATATTTTTGTTTATTTCTGGCTTTTTTTACCCTAATCAAGTTACAACTTGCCAGTTAATGCATTATCTTGTTCGAGAACATACGAGGTGTAATTTGACATTACAACTGATGGAAATGGTTAGTTTATCGAACTTTATGTATCTAAAATAATACCTTCTATTTGTAATGCAGGTTCTTATGAAGCAAGCAGGTCTAAAACTTCAGGATAATGTAAGACCATCAATCTTTATCGTTAGCTCTTACTAATTATATTGTGCAGTGCCCTCGTTAACAGTGTTAGTTCTGAGACAAACAATAGACTGTCGTCATATGCTTATTGTAACATTGATGGAAACTGTTCGATCTTGACAAGTTATGCTAACATTTTCTGTTCACCTTGCAGGCTGTTTTTCTAAATGTTGTCAGTGGTTTCATGTTGACAGAAACTGCAGGAGATCTGGCAATAGCAGCTTCAATTTGCAGCAGGTAATATCTTTTGTGTTTTATTATTTTAGGGAGGCCAAAACTGGTGAGGGTATAGTTTTGCTTACTAAAGTACTCCCTCCCAGTCATTAATACATGACATTAGTATACCCAATGTCATGTATTAATGACCAGAGGGGGTATAAGGCTTCCTTGTGACCTTTTTTGTATTGTCTGGTATGGGGCACATGGAATTTTGATCAACTTTTAAGTAGATTTTCCACCAAGTCATAATCACCTTATCTTCCTGTTGTCCTCACTAAATCTTTATGGTCATTTGCTGAATTTCTTTGGGAAATAGTTATACCGGGTAATTAAAATTACCGAATAAATTGCCTGAATACTGGAGCAATTTAATGAAGCATATGGTTCTATGACCATGTGGTTCTTTGCTCTATATAAAGCAGGTCCCTTTCCGTTCATATTTTGATATCTTTTGCTTGTTTTAATCAAACTTTTTTATCCTTGTCTTCAGTTTCTTAGAATATCCTATACCAAATGATATTGCGTTTATCGGAGAGGTTGGCCTTGGTGGTGAACTTAGAACTGTAAGTTTACATCTTCATTCTGCTTCATGCTATCACTTATTTGATGCGAGTATTCTTTGTTTGCACCTTCATGTCATCACCTACTGGATCTGAATATTCTTTGTTGGCAATTCAAGTCTGAAAGAAAAGTGTTTGGGTCTGTTTAGTATGGAATAATGAAGGTTAAACGTTTTAATTTGGAAAAAAGAACTTACCTTTATTACTTTGAGGCTTGTTCAGATTATATTTGCTATAGTTTGCTGCCAGGTTTTGCTTTCTAAATAGTGATAAGGGATCATACTTCATACATCTGAATTTCCTTTTGGAATTTATTCCTCCAGCCAATATCCTGTCATTAGGAATTAGAGCATCAAGATAGCAACATTTCACAGATGAGACCAACCAACCCATTTGGCTGCAGTTTGCTACATACATACATACATACATACATACATCATCGAAAGTGCACCAAGATAGTAACATTTCTCAAATGGAACCAACCAGTCCATCTTCCATTCGGTTTTACTACTGCTGTAATGCATCCTTCATTATCTTCTCTCAGGTGCCAAGAATGGACAAGCGGGTGCTAGCTATTGCGAAGTTGGGATACAAGAAATGCGTCGTTCCCAAAACCTCAGAGAAGCTGCTCAGACCGCTGAACCTTGAACTTGAGATTTTGCCCTGCAGCAACCTGAAAGAGGTCATAAACACCGTATTTAGGCCACAAGGATGATGCTACACTCTGCTTACTACTTACAGTTGCTGACCGTAGGTATTTAGATCTAGTGTGCCTGGGTCATTGGCCAGATGCTATGACGATTGAGAGAGATGATGTAACTATTTATACTCATTAACGGGTTTCAATGTTCCAGCCATTTTTGCGCCAGAATACGGTCCCTTTCATAGGAATCGTATTGGCTATCCGTGCTGGAATCCTGAACCCTTTACCTCTACCTTAAGTATGTAAGATGTCTTCTATACACTAGTCTGAAAATGAAATTTGCTTGCAAGCTTCAGGGGGTCAGGGGTGTGGTTCACCGTTCACATACAATTTTTTTTCTCCATGAAAATAGGAGAAACAGGTAAATTTCCTTTACATCGTTTTACATGACGTCTGAAACTCAAGTTAAAGAAGCATACATTCATACATGTCTTCCTTGAAAAGCATCTTACTGAAGCTATGTTTGACGATTGGAATTCTGAAGCTATTTTTTCCGTTGGAATTTGGATGCAGCAAATGGTGGGACGAACTCACATTCACATCGGAGTATCGGACGACCGCTCTACCTCTACCCATCGCGAAGGAGGAGATCAAGCTCAGTCTCGAGTATGGCCACGACTTCCGATATCGCCGGTCGCTCCTTCCGCTGCAGCTGCACGCAGCGCGCCGCCGTCCGCGCCACCATTTCCAACGCCTCGAGCTGCCTCGCCGTTGGCTCCGCCGGCCGCCTGTCCAGCAACCTCCCCAGCTCGCCGTCTTCAATGATTGGAAGCGAAAAGGCTACCAAGTTGGTGACCTCGCCCTCCTCCTTCCGATCGATGAAAATTGGCCTCTTGCCCGTGAGCATCTCCAGCATCACGACGCCGAAGCTGTTCACGTCGCTGCTCCGCGTCTGATTCATTGTGCTGTAGAACTCCGGGTCGATGTATCCGGCCGTGCCGTGCACGACGGTGCTCGGACGCTCCATGCCGTTGATCACCGCCGCGCCGAAGTCCGTCAAATGCGGCACCCAGCTCGAGTCGACGAGGATGTTGGACAGCTTGATGTCCCCGTGGATGATCGGCGTCGTGGTGGCGCCGTGGTGCAGGTACTGGATGCCCCGCGACACGCCGAGCAGCATCTTGATGCGCATCTTCCACGACGCCATCACCGGCGACGACGACGACGACGACGACAGGTGGCCATGCAGCTGATCGGCGAGTGAGCCATTCTCCATGTAATCGTAGACGAGAAGGAGCTCTCCAGCCTGCCTCTCCGCCGCCGCCTTCTTTTTCTTCCGGAAGGATAGCAGCAGCGTGCTCTCCCTCTTCTTCTCCCTTACCACGCAGAAGCCAAGGAGGCGGACGATGTGGTCATGGCGGAGACGGGAGAGAATGGCGAGCCCCCTCATGAGAGATTCCTCCCGGCCATGGTCCGGCGATGTCTTTACCAAGGATTTGATTGCCACCTCCCGCCCGTCGCGAAGCCTTCCCTTGTACACGCTGCCGGAGCTGCCTCTGCCGATCTCGTTGGCAAAGTTGTTGGTCGCCGCCACGAGCTCCTTCACGGTGAACTCCTCTCCTCCATCTCCTTGAGAAATCCGTGCAAACTCCTACACAGATGATGCTCGTTCTCACTTAGGAATTACTAGTAATCAATTAATCTCAACGCAATCGATGTAAAAAAAAAAAACAGCTTGTAGTACCAGCGCATCTGGTGACTGCAGGGAGCCTGCAGATGAAGGAGAAGATGCTGCGGTCGTATCATTTGAAACAAGAATGTTGTAGATTTGATCCGACTGTGAGCTGCCTGCAGATGAAGAAGATGATGCTGCGGCCGTATCGTTTGGAGCAAGAATTCTGTAGATCTGATCGAGGCGACGGGTGATGTCGATGTGGGCGATGAAAGGGAAGACAATGAGGTAGGAGTCGATCTTGCTCTGCACGTCCCTGAACCTGTCAGCCAGGCGCCCCGCCATGACGAACCGATATGCCGCGCTCCGGCCTTGGCAGGAGGCCACGAGCTCGTGAGCCTCCCGGAGCGTGTCGCCGAGCTCCGCCAGCGGCCGCCGGACCTCCGGCCGCCGCATCACCTCCGGGTCCTGCAGGTGGGGCAGCAGGTCGGCGATCATGACGACGCGGCGGGCGAGCTGGTCGCACTCCCTCTTGTTCTGCCGAGCCGTCGCTGCCGCTTGGATGATGCTGGAGATGAGCCCGCCGACGTCCGCGCCGACCAGCTGCGCCACCGTCGCCGCCTGCCCCAACCCACCCCACACAGCCATGGATTACGTTAGAGGTCGAAACTCGATAAATCAAAGGGGAGATGGAGAGGTTTAATCATCTCTCTGTCAAGTCTTTTGGCTTAAATCTTCTTTATGATCGAGTGGTTTGCTTATTTGACCAACCATATTATTATATGATGGAATCATGGATTGATGGAAGTACCTTCGGCGAAATAAAGCATGTCTTTTTAAGTTGAAATGCAGGCAAAAGAAAAAAAATAAACACCTCATGTCCTATTTAGCCCTATTTAGTTCGCGATAAAAAAAAAAGTTTTTGACATGTCACATCGAATATATGGAAACACATTTGAAATATTAAATATAGACTAATAATAAAATAAATTACAGATTCCGTTTGTAAACTGCGAGATGGATTTATTAAGCTTAATTAATTTATTATTAGCAAATGTTTACTGTAGCAACACATTGTCAAATTATGGAGCAATTAGGCTTAAAATATTTATCTCGCAATTTACATACAATCTATATAATTAGTTTTTTTATCTATATCTAATACTATATACATATGTCTAAACATTCGATTCGATGTGATAGAGCGTAAAATTTTTATTTAGGAAGTAAACAAGGCTTTACTACTAAAGCGGAGTACTCTCACAGAAAGAGGACGTAGAGCCTTGTTTCTATGCTATCATACGTGTCGATCTGATTGGAGGATTTAAAAATTTAACAGGTCACCGCGTTAAACTGACCTGAAGGCATCACGGGTGACATGGATGCACCCATCGCTCGATTCCAGCAGCTTCCTCGGCAGCAGAAGCTGCTAAAATATCATATACTTACCTTTATTCTAAAATGCATATATTTCTAGCTGTTTCTTTACCAATCTACTTCTCTCAACCATTTTTTTCATCTATTTTCTCTTTTTAATCAATCACACACTTTTTTAATATCAGTGCCAATTTAAAAAAAATCTTACGATATGGCACGGAGGAGTATAAATCTGTTGTTTTAAATTTATAATAGTTAAAACTTAATTAATCATTTGTTATAGTAATAATTACAATCAATTAATCCACTACTAGGAATTCAGGAATTTCAACACCACCAGGAGCTTCATGTTCCAAGCATAGTAGCACAGCAAAGCAGAGAAACAACACATTCCTGTGGCGAAGGGAAAACTGACTTACCCCCTGTTTAGTTCAGACGTATAGGATGATAGTAAACATTTGCTAATAATATATTAATTAGAATTAATAAATTTATCTAAATAGAAAAACATTTGCTAATGACGAATTAATTAGATTTAATAAATTTGTCTAAACCATTAAACTTAATATATTCATCTAAATAGTAAATATTAATTTGCTAATGATGAATTAATTAAATTTAATAAATTTTTCTAAACACTACATGCTGTATAATACCCCAAAACTTAAATCTAAACACCGAAATAATTTGGAAGTGCCAAAACTTGAATCTATAATTTGGAAGTGCCAATTTTAATATATCCCTCCGTATTTTAATATATAACGTTGTCCGTATTTTAATGTATAACGCCATACTCCCTCTGTATTTTAATGTATAACGCTGTCCGTATTTTAATGTATAACATCGTCCCTCCGTATTGACGGAGCGTGTGGCTCCTCACCGGGAGACCGCGCAGGCCCCCCTTTGCCGGTTCGGCCGGGGACTCAGGGCGAAATTCTAAGCTCTCTGTATGTGGAAGGTTCGCGACCGTGGAAAGAGCATAAGACACGGGCGATGTATACAGGTTCGGGCCGCTGAGAAGCGTAATACCCTACTCCTGTGTTTTTGAGGGATCTGTGTATGAAGGAGCTACAAAGTATGAGCCAGCCTCTCCCTTGTTCTGGGTTCCGAATCTTGAAAAAATCCAGTCCCCTTTCTAAGTGGGCAAGGTCCTCCTTTTATATTTTAAGGGGATACCACATGCCCCCTCTCTCTCTTTTGTGTGGGGACTTATCCTCCCTCTTTCCAAACTGGACTTGCCTTCTCTTCATAAATGGACGGAGATTGTATGGTTGCCGTTTGAATGACTTTTTGATGGGACGGCCCATACCTACCTCCACTTCTGCCGGAGACAGGCGCGACGTGGGGGCATGGCCGTCTGCTGACGACATGACCATTGTCAGACCGGTCACAAATCAGTCATTCTTGTCCACCACGTGTCAGTTTAACAATCTGCATGTTCCCCCTTCTTCATATAACATCTTGCCTGTAATGGTTAGGATGAAAACTGGCATACATCTGACCGGAACTAACGTGCCATCTCTGGGAGGTAACACGCTAGCTCCAGCTGGGGACGAGCGCCTAGAAGCCCTCGTCCTGACGGGATGGGGCGAGACGTGCGTCAGATCGCCTGTCGCCACCTAACCCGCGATCTGACCGGTCTGTGACTAGTCACAGACCGGATAAATGAGTGCACTGCACTGCGTTACATGCGGCGTGACACGCTCAGCCAAACCGCAATAAATGTGGTTAGGTGAGCCCCGCTGTGCTCACCTAACCCATACACGCGGAGCAAAAACCCACGAGGGGTCAGGGCGCCTCGGCCCTCGGGGCCGAGGCGGGTGCGGTCCGACCCCCTCGGGGGGACTAAGAGGAGGGCGAACACATCACCCTCGGGCCCGACGTCCCCCGAAGGTGCCAGGCCACGTGTGCGATTGTGTCTGCCTCAAACCTCTAGTCATGATACTCCCGATCCCATGTCACCGACAGTAGCCCCCGGCGTTATGCCAGGGCGATCGCCCTCTTTAAGGGAAGCGGTCGGGCGTGACGCCACTCCTAAGGCCTGGTGACAGGTGGGACCGGTCTCCACAATTGGGCAGAAACCAAACGGTCACAAATCACGCACATCGGCAATGGTAACTCGGCTGTCAATAATGAGCGGTCTCTTCAAGACTGCCACATTACTCGAGTAGCACACGAATCTGGACATGGCGATTCGTTTCGTCTGGAGATATGGTAACGTCGCTTCGGTCGGCGAGCGTAATTAACGCGCGCACGATATGATCTATCTCGACTGCCACAACCGCATATCCACCTCATGCGCCGCAAGCGGGCGAATGGGATTAGTGGAAGCGTGGGCGCGAGAAACGAGGGGGCGAAATAGTGGGCGCGAGAAGCGAGGAGCCGGGCACAGCGTTGGCAAGAGTATAAAGGCACTGAGGAAGGGATCTATTTCCTTCCTTTCGCCATTATTCCCCTTGTCTTCGCCGCTTGCGCCCTAACTCCTTCTTTCCTGCGCCCTACCTTCGCCACACGCGCTCGCTCTCAATCTTCTCTTCCTCCGGCGCCATGGCACGGGGCTCCGCTCCTCTCGATGGTAGCGTGCTGCCGCCTTCCCGCATCGTGAGCGAGAGGCAGGCTGGGCTGCCGCGCCGCTTCATGCCGGAATCTGCCACCGGCCGGGAGATAGTCACGCTGGGCGAGGGACGCCCGGCGCCAGACTACCCGGGGCGGTCCGTCTTCTTTCTCCCCTTTGCAATGGCAGGGTTGGTTCCGCCATTTTCTTCTTTCTTCATGGATGTTCTGGAGTTCTATGATCTCCAAATGGCGCACCTCACCCCCAACGCGGTGATGACATTGGCCATTTTCGCGCATCTGTGCGAGATGTTCATTGGGGTGCGCCCATCTCTTCGGCTGTTCCGGTGGTTCTTCACCGTGCAGTCGGTGTCGCCGCCATCGGTAGTTGGGGGCTGCTACTTCCAGCCACGGGGGCCGGTGCTGAACCGTTACATCCCCTGCGCCCTCCGCAAGAAGTGGGACGACTGGAAGAGCGACTGGTTCTACACCCCCCTCACCGACGAAGCGCGCCTCCGACTTCCGAGCCAGCCCCCGGTGCAGGCCTCCAGCTGGCGGGCGCCGGTAGATCTGGGGGATGGCCATGACGCCGTCCTCGACCGCCTGGCGGGCCTGCGATCCCAGGGGCTCACAGGGGCCATGGTGTACGGCGACTACCTCCGTCGTCGGATTGCGCCGCTCCAGCGGCGCGCTCGGGGCGTCTGGGAGTACACCGGGTCCGAAGACTACATGAGGACCCACCAGGGAGTCAGATGGGACTGGGCTCCTGAGGACTTCAAGATATTGGTCCAACGGGTGCTGAATCTTAACTCCGTGGAGGCATCTCTCATTCCCCAAGGAATCCTCCCCCTTTGCAGCGATCCAGACCGCGCTTCCATCCTGACCATTATGATGGCGGTCGGGGCCTCAGAGGAGCGAGCTCCAAAGGGCCACGACGGCGCAGGCGGGAGCCGTAAGGGGGATCAATCTTCCCCGGGAGGGGGTCGTGCTTCTGGGTCTCGCGACGGAGGCCCGGGGAGCAGCCGCCCTGCCGACGCCCGGGGGAAGAGGAAGCAGGGAGGAACACCTCCCCCATCTCCTCCCCGAGGGGGCGGGGCGGTGCGTGCCAGCAGCAGGCGCCCGGAGGGGGCCGCGCCGACATCGCAGCCCGAGGGGGAGTGCAAGAAGAAGCGGCTCCGCAAGATGGGGGAGACAGAACCATCTCGGGGAAACCTCATTTCCCCTCCAAAGTGGTCGTTTAACCGACCCCCTCACAGGTTCGTCTCTCATCCATCGTGGCTGTATTCATTCTCTCAACGCGAGTTTTCACTCACCCATCTTGTTCGTCTTCTGGTCTTTTCTTCTGTTTCAGCGAGATCCCGTCGCGTCCCTCCCGCCATTCCAAGTCCGGCCAGTCTGAGGCCGAGGATCCGGCGGCCGCGGAGGCCCGGAGGCGGGAATCTGACCAGCGAGAGGCCGCGGATCGCCTACGGGAAGCCGAGGAGGCCGCCTAGGAGGCCGCCCGGGCTCGCCAGGCCGAGGAAACCGCTCGGGAGGAGGCCGCCCGGGCCCGCCAGGCCGAGAAAGCTGCTCGGGAGGAGGCCGCCCGAGCCCGCCAGGCCGAGGAAGCCGCTCGGGAGAAAGCCGGATTTCGTCAGGACGAGGCGATGGCGACTTCCGAGGCAGCCCGCGACGAGGCCGCGGGCGCGTCGCTTGGGCCCACTCCCTCGGGCGACGCTCAGGCGACATCTTCCGGGGCAGCTGGCGACGAGGCTGCGGGCGCATCGCTTGGGCCCACTCCCTTGGGCGACGCCCAGGACCAACCAGGTCCGGGGGACATCCCCGAGTCCGGCACTTCCATCGGCGGCCCGAGCCGCGTGGCATCCTCTCCAAGGCGGCTCTTCCCCACGCCTTCTATCGCCCCGCTGAGCGCAGAG